CTGATGAACTCCTGAGCACCTGTCAATTAAGTTAAACAGGAGTGCTACATGAGAAAGAACAGGAGAAATGTGCACAGATTTACTAACATACACACAGGTACGTATTAAATACAGCAGGCGTAAGCTTTAAAAAACTGCTCACAAGACTGACAGCATTCTTTGACACTCAATTTCATTAATGACATTACCCATGAAGCACAAAGACAAATTAAGAAGTTACACTTTTCACTCCGGATACCTTTCTCCACAAAAAGGAGAGACTGGGGGGGGGGGGGGGGGAAGGTACCAGTCCCTGTGGTGGATTATCTGCCAACAGGGAAGAGATACGACCAGATTTCTATAATTCTGAACATGTCATTCTGTCCCTACACAAAGCAGGCTGAAAGGGTTGGCCTGCCCATCTCCCTTCCCCCAGGTAGGAGGGCAATATGACCATTAACTTCCATGAGGCAGTGCATTAGCCCAGAATGGATAAAAAGCAGTATTGGAAAATACTGCATTTGCCAGCCGTGTTTTCTCTAACTTCAAACTAATTCTGAATTGGCATAGTACGCTTTGGCAGGGGAACAGAAAAGATGATCTAATAGGTCATTTGACTTCCGTCACTAATTTGTGTGATCTAAATAACATTTTATGTTTATGGTGTTTAAAACTCAATTTCCTAAGGACTGGTTTTAGGGTTAGAAATGGTCAGTATGACAGTAGCTATGAAACCCATAATGATGCTAAATAGGAAAAGTCTTAAAGAGCTTTTAAAATAGTAAAAAGTAGCTCCAGCGCCTTTATACTTCACAGTGGAGCTCAGATGCAAATAAATGTGCATTAGAAGGTCAATATGGTGATTACAGATGCAGTGTTTCACTGGACAAAAAAAAAGACAAAAAATGCACAATAAGAACAGCAGTGTCAGGGATAAGAAAGAGAGGTGATATAACTTGCAGTATTTATTATATATTTGGCTACTTATTATGTATTTGGCTGTTTATTATATACTAAATACACATTACTTATTATTTATTTTACATATAATGTGTGTATATGTACACACACACACACACACACAACATCTCCGAACCACACACAACAACATGGAGGCAGAGCCAGAAGACTCTTGCACTTAAAGGAAGAAGCAAGAAGAGATTAGCTCACAAAGAACCAAAGAACTGAAATAATGTGTTGATATTTCCTGGAACCGGTCCGAAGATGAGCAGCAGAGCTTTGGACGGGCTGCAAATTTTCCCAGTACTTCCTTTGAAAACCAAGCTGGTACAGCATTCTAATAATCCAGCTCAAAGGCACGGAAAACAACTTTGGCTTTTGCCAGGTTGAACTGGGGGGAGGAAGGTCCTCCCAGACATTTATAAACAATTTTAATTTTTGTGCATGTCCCAACCAATGCCTGGGTGGGAGCAACCTAGTTTTGAAACCCACTGTTCTCCTCAAGTAGAAGAGGTTGAATAGTTAGAAATCCAGATATTTCAAAATTCAGCAAGGGAAAACTTGGTCTATAACAAGACACAAATTCAGAGTACATCAGCAGTTCATGAAATACAGCCAAGCCTATGCTCCTACATCCCTTTTTGAAAAAAGGCTCCCATTGATAACTGCTTGTCAGTTGACAGAGAGTCCTGAACAGTGGAAACTGCATAATCCCTTTCATGAACTCAGGGAGTGAGGGTGTAAACTGTGGGGGTGGCGACAAGGAGCACTGTACAGACAGGGTAGTTTGTACTCCATCGAATGAAGAAAATCAAGAGTGCATGCCTTTAAGTAATCATCTTCTTAAAGAAGTTTTTTACGCAGCTTGCTGGGTAAAAAACCTCAGCACCTGTGTCAGCACCAGCTCCTGGGAGGGTCTGTCGGGTGACCGGCTGCCCCGATCCAGCACACGTCTCCCCTCCCTTCTCAGCATCTCTCAATTTAGAGAGGTGTGCGCACACACACACACACACACACACTGGTAACACTTTCCTTTGATTTGCCCTGATAAAGAATTAGAAACAGTATTTCTTGCTATCCTCATTGTATCTGTTGTCATTTAATCCTGACTGCTTCATTTCCATAATCGTGCAGTTAATAATAATCTGAGGGAAGAATTTCATAATGATTTTGTGCAAAGAGTAAAGCAGTAGCAGATCCATACGACTGCTCCACTGTACACCTCTGAGCTAGAGTTTACCAGAGAATAAACAAAGGGAGAAAACCCCAAAATGTAGCCTACTGTTTTCTCACGCCAAAAGAAAACGTTAAACAAAGTTGAACTGCTTTGGTAAATAAAAATCATGAGGCACATAAGCAGTGAAACTTACCAAACTGATTGCTAGAAATGAAGGAGTTGTTTTCTTTTTTTAACTATAAAAAGCATATGTCTCAAAGAAAATACTTTTCAATTGCTTTAAAAGGAGCAATTTCTCAGGTTTTAAGTATTACTTTCATGTACCCGTGAATGTTCCCTAATGTTCTTAGGCATTAGACAAAAATCATAATTAACACGCCACAAGTGAAACAAAGCAGATCATCTTTCTAAATTTTTTGGCAACATTTGTGTGCGCATTCTTAAAAAAAAGAAAACAAAAGTTGATGGAAATGGGTCTCTTTTTTTTACCAAAGTATTAGAATTTCTCTTTTTAAGCTGAAAAGCATAGCGCGCGTCGAGCACGTTTAAACAGCGTGAAGACTGTAGCGCAAAAATTAAGTTACGCTGAATTTCATGGTGAACTACCCTTTAATGAGGCCGCTCTCAGCTCTTCAAGTGTCCCAACCTGAGGCGAACGAGCGAGAGCTGTAACCGCATTTCCTCCTTTTGTCACTTTGTTTCCACAACTTTGGCGTTATAGCATGGCTTTGTGCATCTGCCCTAGGTCTTCAAAGGAAGGCCAGCCAAATGACCCACTCCAGGAAAAAATCCTGGCCTTTAATGCTTTAGCACGGGGTTTGGGAAGAAGGGGAAAGGACGACCCGGCGCTGGCGAGGGCCTGGAAGCGGGGGAGCTGTTCTGGAGCTGGACGGGCACAGGGTGCAACCCCAACGCCTCCCTGGGAGCCAAGTAATTCTGGGCTCTCCCGAGGGGTCTCTGGCCCCTTCCCTGGAAGTGACACGGGATGTGAAAAGGGATTTGAGGACAGTTCGGCTGACGAAAAGCTAGTCCCTGCTGGCAGAGCCTGAGGAGGGACGCGCTAGCTGCCCCAGGAGTAGGTGTAAGCCCGGGCAAAGTACCGCCCTCCCTCCGTGTGCATCTGAACGCCTCAGTCCTGCGGGAAGGCGCCAGGAGGAAGAGAAACATGGTCGTGCCTTCCTTGCTGGTAGCATCAGGAAAGCAACAAGATGTCAGTGAGGTTTTTCTGTTTCCTGTTCGCGAAGCAGCACACCCCCACTCCCTCCCCACACACACACACGCACACCCCCG